TGGGTCCAGGACCTGACCCGGGGTTGTCCATGTGGGAGTCCAGCAACATAACCGCTACTCCATCTTCTGGTCTTGGTATTAGATGAACTTTAACACATTAAAAGAACAATTTTTTTTTTTAAATAGTGGGTATGTGTGCTTACCCCAGGGGGAGGGGGGGATTGGGAAATCACCCCCAGTGGGGAATGGCCATGCTACAATTCCTTCTCTTCCATTTCTGCACCCTTTTGGGACTTTGGACACACACACATACGTGCCCAGTTTTTTGTTTTTTTTGTTTTTTTTTTTTACGAGAGATTTTTGCTATAGGGTGCATGCACTCACACCTCCCCCTCCGGGGGGGTGGTGGTCATGCCACAATCCCTTCTTCCTTCTCCTCTCAGAATATTGGGCACACAAGCACACACGCCTGGTATGAGTTTTAAGACTCTGGGACTGGAACCACAGTCGATTACGTCGGAGTCCAGTGATGCACCTGTTACGCCGTCTGCTGGCCCTCCAGCATGTTTTCCTTTTTCTTTTTTAAAAGAATTATTTATTTAATTTTATTAATTAATTCATTTATTTTAATTTGACCAGAAAAAGACAGACACACAGAGAAAAAAGAGAAAGCAAGCCACCAGGTCCGGGACTCAAACCATGGTCTGCCATGTGGGAGTGTCCAGCGCCTCAACCACCATGCCACCTGCCAGTCCCAAATGTTTTTTTTTTTTTTTTTTTTTTCAAAGCAAGACTTCTCTGTGTGCTGGCATAAACCGCATAACCAAATCCAGGCCTCTGCATAGCACTGTAGTAAACAGTTGTTAACCTGGCATGGGGGTGGGGGGGTCAGTGTTTTGTATTTAGAGATATTTTTCAGGTGAAATTGGTAGTTGTCATTTAGCTTGGATCTATGTAGGCTTTTTCTAAATTGGTATGTTCGCATTGGTGCAGTAGCCAGGTAATAAAGAAGAGGTTTGTTTTTGTTTTTGTTTTTGTTTTTTTTGAGTAGTTTTTGTTATAGGGCACATGCGCTCTCCAGAAAGAGAGAGACAGAGAGATAGAAAGTGAGAAATCACCCCCCCCCCTTCCTGCCGTAGGGGAGATGGCCACACCGCAATCCCTTCTCCTCCATTCTCCTCTTGGGATCTTGGTCACGCACGCACATGTGCCCGGCTTGAGTTTAAGCCACCGGGTCTGGGACTTGAACCACAATCAACTACATGGGAGACCACCCACATAGCCATTATGCCAACTGCTGGTCCCATAAAGGACAGTCGTTGAGCAAAGACTCAAATTTGGAGAATTCTTTATGTCTTGAGTTCTGCTTGCCTTAATCAAACATAAGAAAGCATGTTCCTATTTCTGTATTTAGCTGTCTAAAGTAGTCTAGCTCAGAGTAAGAATGGAAAGCTGTTGACTAGTAGACGAGCTTTTGTCTTACAGGAACAAGTACAAAGATTCCCATTTATACTAGCAGTTACAAATAGTTCTCATGGCTTCATAAATCTAAAGGGGTAATAGGCTGGTGGTTTCATTCCCACTGCCAGGGGAGAAACTGAAGCTCACACATCATGTTTGCCCGAGGTCACTGTAGTCAGTGAGGTGACAAGCCAGGTGTGGCTGGGATGCAGTGAGTAACTGCCTTGTAACTGCCTGCGTCTGCATCAGCTGGGCCGCCTAAGAGAGCTTCCCCCTCGTTCCGTTAGGAGCAAGGCCCACCTAGGGTAGAACTCACTCAGCCGTTGATTGTTCTCCAGTAAGCTGGTGGGTAAGATGGGGCTGTGTTTCTGCATTCTTTGTGGACAGTCTCTCGGCTGAAAGGAGTGATTTGATGGTACCGTTGTTAGTACCTAGAAAATAATCTGTCATCCTCTACAAAGCCAGGTATTCAGTTGTAAGTGTCAGGGCCTAGCTCCAGACCCAGCCATTTTGCTATAGCAAAAAGGTTTTGCTTTGTTATGTTGTTAATTGTTTTAATCATAATCACAAGGATCCCTAGGAGAGTTTATGTCTCATTCTCTCTGGTCCTTACATTGGCAGCTAAAATGTTGGGTGTCTACATTTGTTTTGTACAGGGGAATTTCATTTCATGGCTCTGGATGACAAGAACAAAGGCTTCCCTTTTAATTATATTAAGCCATATTAAATACAAACACAAAATAATGTCCAGATACTTAGAATATCCCTGTAAATAGCAGAGATCTCCTGTACCTCGAGCCTTACTCAGACAGTGAGCGCTCACGTAGCAGCTGCTCCCAGGGTGACCAGGGATGGAGCGGTGCTCTGACCTGTGCTGTCGTCAGCTGCGACTGGACGTGAGAGCAGGTTGGGAAATAGAGTAACTCGTGTGTCAGGAACATTTTGGGCAATGCAAATATGAACTGGGGGGGAGATGGGGAAAGTGGCTCAGAATGCCTCCGCATCTCCTGTACACCAGCCTGTACTCAGAGGCTTGCCGTTCCTTTTAACATCCTCCGAGGATTGGCTGTCTTAATCTGATTCCCGCCACGCCGTCGTGGTCGACCTTACAAGGTCTCTGGTCTCCTTTGGATTGTGTGTATCACCACTAAATGGGATCCAGAGGCTTAGTTGCTACTTGAGAAATAAGATCTTGGTTTTCGTCCCGAGAATGGCTCACTTACTATGAAGAAGAAACACAACCCTGACAGGTAATGTGTGTCCGGCCCCTCCCAGACCGGGAGCTCTGGTGGCACTCAGTACCTGCCTTAGACGGGCAGTCCCCATCCGCCTTCATACAGGGTGCTGCTGAGGTGGCCGTGCTTGACTCTGACCTGTTGGCCTTTTTTGGTTTTCATCTTCTGTTAAATTAAAGAAAAATCTTTGGTATATCTATGACAGTCCTGAGGTTGCAAAATAGTTCATGGCAAATGTATATTATAGAAAATGTGTGCTTATATTTCAAAATTTTTTGCACCAAAATAAACTCATACTTTAATTCCACTTTTTATATGAACTTTTTGAAAGCCTCTTATGTAGTTTATTAGCAAGTGCCTATTTACCGAGCACCTCCACTGTGTGCTAAAACTGTAAGGGCAAACTGCTTAGGCGTCGTGTGTGCCTTTCACACACCCATCACTGCCTTAAGGAAGTCCCTTGTTTTTATTTATTTATTTATTTATTTTTACAGAGAGATTTTTGCTATAGGGCGCATACACTCGCCAGAGAGACAGAGACAGAAAGTGAGAAATCATCTCCCAGGGGAGGTGGCCATGCTGCAATCCCCTTCTTCATTCTTTCTGGATTTTGAGCACACATGCATGCATATGTGCCCACTGTGAGTTTTAGGCTGTTGGTTCCAGGACTTGAACCACGGTCAACTACATGGGAGTCCAGCGATGTAACGATTACACCATCTGCTGATCCTGGAAGTCAGTTATTTTTAGAAGAGTATTGATGAGTTAAAGAGGAGGGTGGGGATGTAACTATCTCCATTTATAGACTAATACAGACTTTTATTTAGATTAAGAATATACCTGTTACCATTCTCCCTTGGGGATAATAGCCATACCTCGTTTCCCTTGACTATTTGGGAGAATCTGAATTAGAGACTCTTCAGGTATGAATTTCTTCTTCCAGGTCTTACCTAAGGAACTAATCTTAATTTCTCGCTTACTATAATTCTACAAGCGTTTAATGGTAGGGGTTGGGAGGCTGCCCAATGGCATGGGAGGCTGGAGACTGGCTGTGGCCTGTATTTGGCAGGTTTGGTCATTACAGCTTTTTTTCAGAGCGATTCTTCCTGAGGATTTCTCTGGCTAAGTCTCGGAACTTTCTGTACCTATAACATTGCTGTACTCAGTTCTGTTCTACAGCCTGTGAGCTTATGAAAACTAGAAGTAAGATAAGATTGATTTTGAAGACCTAAGGAAGTTGCGATGGTGAATGTAGCCAGAAATAGAACTAAAGGGAGCTGTCCCCTTCACTTGAGATTACTTCGCGTAGGCTCAGGCGTTTATCCAGAAAAATTTTGGCCCCCCCTAAATTTACTCCTCAAGAACTAGACACACAGGCTGCCCCCCTAGTGACCATGTTCAGGGATGTTCTAAGCAGTCTGTAGGACCAAAGCACTCAGGTTCGAGCCCAGTTAGAACAAGACTCATCAAATCCTTAGTCCCAAAGGACCAAAGTTTTCCTCTAGCTTTTCATGGAGAAGTAAGTGGCTTTGAAAGTCATAGTCGAACTCTGGTTAAAGTGATAGCCTTTGTGTTTGCTTCACTAATAGGAGCCACTGTATTATTGGTTCCTTCCCTGCAAAAGACTTCTTACCCTTTGTAATCACTTACCACACTCCTTTCTCAGGGTGCGATTTAAGGACCTAGACTAGAATGGCCAGCTAAGATGAAAACTGTTGTGACTGTTTAGAGTGCCCAGGTTTCAACTCCTTTGTGTTACTTTCTTTCCGTAGTTACTTACAGAACCAATAGCGAGCCAACGAGAAAGAAGTGACAGAAACACGGTTCATGTGAAGGTGCTCAAGTAGTCATTTGCTAGAGTCTGGATATACCAAATGGAACATTTCTAACTAGCTTATTTTTAGAAATGGAAGAAAAATTTTATATGTATTAAAAAGACTTTTTCAAGACAGCTTTTTGCTATAGGGCGCATGTGCTTCCTAGAGAGACAGAGATGGAGAGAGAGAAAATGAGAAATTACCCCCTTCCCCCCGGGAGGGGTGCCCATGCCACAGTCCCTTCTCCTCTCAGGATTTTGGGCGGGCATGCATGCACATGCGCCTGGCATGAGTTTCAAGCCGCTGGGTCCGGGATCAAACCACAGTCAGCCATGTAGGAGTCCAACGCCTTAACCACTGTGCCGCCTGTTGGCCTCTTAAAAACTTATTTCTATTTTCTTCCAGTCAGGATTGCTTTCCTAATGAACAAGTATTTTATTTACTACTTTTCTAATATTTCTTTAATTTCAAAATTAAGTTTAAAGTTAATGGAGAAACAAATCCAGGTTTCAGAACTATCCCTGGCTGCATTTGTCATGTTCCTATAATCACGTCATCAGAAAGTGGGTGGAGCCTGACTCCATCTGGTAAAATCGGACCCTCGGGTTAGAGTGGTGTACCGGAGACGCAGTCCTGTCATTGCTGTCAGGTGTGGCGGGACTCTCTCGGTTTGGTTTTTGTTTGTTTGATTTTGTTGTTACCGTTCTGTGTGTTTCCTTTCTTCTTTTATTGAGTTTTGCTTTATTTCTCACTGCTTTCTGACACCCTTCCCTCCCCTCCTTTTCAGACTGCCTTTCTTTTGGTCATTTCTATGCCTTGACTCCCATTTTGGTCCCTGTACAGTCTGTTCCTTATTTCTCTGGTGGTTGCAGCTTCTGAGCTAGCAGAATGCTTCTGTCGTGCTGTGTGTGTAAAGCCTTGATTTTACTGCTGTCGTACAAAACTAAACTTGACGTGGCTGTTGGGCTGTTATTTACAGTTTATTTCTCTCTCTGCTGCACTGGTTAAAAGGACACTGTCAAGGTATTTTTTTCATAATTTTTCAAATCATTTTCCTCACTGTTTACAGTAACCCATTAAAAGCTTAAAACGTAAATCTTTTCTTTCGAAGATCCTCTCCATCATACATTCACACCGGTTTGTTGTTGTAGAGTTGGCCTCTATGTTGGGCTGGTGCCATTTGAGTTTTTGTCATTGAAAGCGCATGTAAAACGTCAGTTTTTTTGTGAGGGGCGTGGGTGGTCTAGCGGGGACAGTGTAATCAATCAAGTGTGCTGCTTAGCAACAGAGGGAAGAAGTACAAGGTCAAATTTGGTCTCTCTAACCTTGACAGTGTCCCTTTAAGTATTTCTCTACCACACGCCCTGGACCCCAGTAGCTGAGCCTGAGTGCCTCGTACCTTCTCAGTATGGACCTCCCTCTGTGACTGTTCACGCTAGCTGCAAAGATTAAAGCTCGTCTGAAGCGAGCTATCCAGTTGACACTGGAAGAGCTTTAATCTGAACCATTTGCACACTCGTGTGTTAGCGCACTCTGCTCTCCTGTAGAGGCATATGTGACATAGTCCCTCTTGCTGCTGAGGCGCCTTCTTGCTGGGCATTTGGAAAGCCGCACGTAGAAGCAGCACCTTTCATACATCAGAAGAGGCAGGCCTGCACATTGCAACTGTGATCAGCTTTCATACATCAGAAGAGGCAGGCCTGCACAGTGCAGCTGTGATTGCCTACGATCTCATAACCACGTGGATTTCATTTTGAAATTAAATGTTTCCATTTTGAAAGGAGCACCAAATTTAGACTTGTAGAATTGTCTTTGGTAGCATCATTGCAGGAATCACACTAGAAATTGCACATTTCTGAGCAAAATATCAGCATCAGTTGAGTTGCCCTGTGTATGACCATCAATCAGAGAGGAGAAACAGCTGCTGATAAAGTAAGTAAAATTCCTGGCAAAATGATCTCTTCCATCAGCTCTCATAGCTGAGTAATCAAAACAAGGAGGGATTTCACTAAGAACTCTTTCGGCCATGGGTTGAACGGGTAGGTCAGCTGTTTTCAATCCACCAAGCTCTTAAGTATCACCTGTTACATAGAAATGGTGACAGATGTCCACACCCCAGTCCTCTGCCTCATTTCTCCACACAAACCAGAAGACTTTTAGGGATTTAGATTTTCTCTAGGCTCAGGGCAGTTCTGTTTCATAACAGTGTCCCGATATCTCTCTCCCTTGTGTAGTCTGTTAGACTTTCTGGTTGCTTTAGATGTGGTTCTGATGGAATCAGTTATGGCGTCTGTCATGTTTACAATTCCCAGAGGGACTTGCGGCTCTCTGCCCTTTCTTTTTTGGGTACAGATGGCACTTCTCACCAGATTCTTTGCCGCAGGATGACTCATTTAATAGAGTTACTTGCGTGATTAGTGAAGGGCGGAGGTTAGTGCTTTGAAGTCGTCTGTTTAGTTGGAAAGGACAAAAACTAAAGAGTTTCAAATGAGAGTAGAGTCTTACTGTGATGATCTCATTGATAGTCAGGGGCTCTGAGTAAAAGCTCACTCCTCCTCAGTCAGTATTTATTAGACTTTGATGTTTTGTTTTCCTGTTACCAGTTTTAGGTTGATACAGTCTTGTGAAATTCCATATTTTGAATCCCATTTCAGCTAATGTCCTGCTTATGGCAAGAGATGCTTGCCTTGGACCTGCCTTTTCAAACCTCCTCTCTGCTGTGAATCCAGCGGTGGGCTCTCAGATGCAGTTGTGTGGGGCTGGGCTCCGTGTAGCAGAGGGATTTGCTTCGACTGACTGGGATGGGTAGGCAGGGTGCAGCATCACCCAGGAGCCTGGTCTTGCAGCTTGATGACTGACTTCGCATTCTGTTCCTTTCATCCATGACAGTGAGGGGCCAGATATTCTGGTAACTCAAGTCTTTGCAAGAGCTTTGAACATTCGACTCTGAACCTACTGGTGCCATAAAATGTTTTAACTCTGGAAAAGAATGAAGGCGCTGGTTGTTCTTGTTCATAGCCTCGGCTTTTGTTTCTCTCCACCCTACTCCCTGAAATTCAGTCATCTTTGAGGGGAAGCAGATTCCTTGAGCTTTCTACTTTCTCATCCTGCCCTTATTCTGGAAGGTCCTCGGGTGTGTTGACATAGCTTTTGGGGCCTTTTCCAGCCTGTCGTTTGCATGTCAGCCCAGCTCAGCTCAGTGCATGTCAGCTCAGTGCACCTTTGTGCCCCATGTGACTTTGGTTAGCACCAGTATAAATCCCTGGCTGTTTTCATAAGTGGAGTCCCAGCTCTGAGGGCAGCAGTGGGAGAAGAGGGAAATTGCAGGGCCAAAACATTTCATATCTCATTTAAATGGAATTGACCACTTCATAGAAAAGAAAATTCAAATCATTGTCCTCAAAGGTTTCCCCTTTGAGATACGTATTTTGACTGTTTTAAACTGCAAAGCATTTACGTTTTCATGGATGCTTATGTTTAGTCGTGTAAGGACCAAACTCTGCTGTACTTCGGATTTTCAGGTTCCTAAAGAAAAAGATGAAATGGTAGAGCAAGAATTTAACCGGTTGCTAGAGGCCACATCTTACCTTAGTCATCAGCTAGACTTCAATGTCCTCAATAATAAGCCTGTGTCCCTCGGGCAGGCCTTGGAGGTTGTCATTCAGTAAGTACTTTGTTGCTGACTGCTGTGTAGTGAATTACACTTAAAGATTTTAAGTTTTTCAGCAAGTTTTATTTTAGTTTTCCCTTATTTCTATGTGAAATTATTAAAATAATTACTTGATTTTAAAGCCCCCTTCAATTCTAAAATCCATTGCTTTTATAAAATTTGCCAGAGGGTGTAAAATATTTGCCAGAGGCCAGAGAGACAAAGGGCGGGAGGCGAGGTTGGTGAGAAAGCACCCCCTGGGAGGGATGGCCATTGCACAATCCCGGCTCCATTTCTTCCTCCTGTCAGGATTTGAAGCATGTAGATACACGGCACCTGATGTGGGGTTTTTTTGTGTGTGTTTTTTTTGTGTGTGTGGGGTTTTTTTTTTGTTTTTTTTTTTGAGAGGTTTTGCTATAGGGTGCATGCAGTCGCCAGACAGAGAGAGAGAGACAGAAAGCGAGAAATCACCCCCCAGGGGAGATGGCCACGCCACAATCCCTTCTCCTCCATTCTCCTCTTGGGATCTTGGGCATGCACGCACACGTGTCCGGCGTGAGTTTTAAGCCACCGGGTCTGGGACTCGAACTGCAGTCGACTACATGGGAGTCCAGCGACATAGCCATTATGCTAACTGCTGGTCCCCCTGATGTGTTTTTTAAACCCCAGGTCCAGGACCCCCATAGTCAGTTGTGTGTGATCTAGTCACCTTAATCACCATGCCACTGGCTGACCTCCAAGTCCATTGTTGTTATATGTATTTAACATAGCTTGGGAAATAATCTGCCACCAGCCAGCTTTCTTATTCCCAAGTATTAGAAATTGCCGTGGGCCTTCATGCCCTTGAACATTTCTGATAAACTTGTGCTGCAAAGCTGGCTGTGAGGCTGGGGCATACATACTGTCTTTCTCAGGTTGCAAGAGAAACATGTCAAAGACGAGCAGATTGAGCATTGGAAGAAGATAGTGAAAACTCAGGAAGAATTGAAAGAACTTCTTAATAAGGTAAAGTTCTATTACTTTCATCATCATGTATGAAGAAGCTTCAAACTCTGGTTTCTTCCCTCCATGGAAGAGGAGATCTGCACAGCAGGCAGTTTCGTCTGTCAGCCTTCTAGAATGGCGCTGCAGATGGATTGTTGCCGGGAAATAGATCTTTCCTGTGCCCACTGCCCTCTAGCTGTCCCAAAGCAGGCCTGGCGCCCTCTGCAGGGTTCTAGGATCAGAGTGAGAGCATCTGTACTGGGCCAGGTTACCACTGGTGGAAGACCAGCAGGTCTGCAGCCCCGTTCATGGCTGTAAGTATTTCTCTTGAGGGGCCAGCACCCCAGTGGTGTATCTAGTATATCTGTTGGTGACTGTTCTCTGCTATGTCCCAGCGCCCGGAGCGCCAGACTATTCAAGTTCAGTCATTTATTTCTGCGCATCCCGCCACCTGCAGAAAGAACGTGGTCTTAGGAAGAAGACAGCCCCTGAGGGAGGGCTTTCTAACGTGAACTCTGGGGCACCTTGGGACAGGAGTCTCGCCTTCCTTTCTTTCTGTGTCTCATTTGTCCACCCTGTCTCCACCTGCACCTGCTTCATGGATTGTGGCCAGGATCAAGTGAAAAGAGTGACTTGAGGACTGGCAGCTGGCAGGGGGTCTGTGGAGTCTGGGCTCAGGCTTTAGCTGCCACCTTAGTCCTACGTCGTACCTTGAGAAAGCCCAAGAAAGGAACGTTTGGAATGCTTCCTTAAGATTTGTGTGATGATTTGATCTTTTACATAGTTAAAAAACGAATCATGACAATTATTTGTCCCAAAGTAAGTTTAAGTTAAATTGGTAGGAGTTTGTGTTTCCTAGAAATGAAATATATTGGGTCATCAGAAAAGTCATGACATATAGGCCCCAGTTTTAACGCTCCCGGGTGGTTTCCGTGTGCAATCAGGCTGTGCCATGGAGCGTGGTGACATTCCTTTAATTTTTGTATGACTTTGATGTTTTCCTCTTCTTGTCCTTTCTTATCATGCGTTTGTCCCCAACTCTTTTCATTCCTTCCTTTTTAAAATCAGTTTTTAATTTTTAATTTTCGTTGGACCTGATAGGGTGGTATGTGGGCAGCTGGCAGGGGGTCTGTGGAGTCTGGGCTCAGGCTTTAGCTGCCACCTTAGTCCTACGTCGTACCTTGAGAAAGCCCAAGAAAGGAACGTTTGGAATGCTTCCTTAAGATTTGTGTGATGATTTGATCTTTTACATAGTTAAAAAACGAATCATGACAATTATTTGTCCCAAAGTAAGTTTAAGTTAAATTGGTAGGAGTTTGTGTTTCCTAGAAATGAAATATATTGGGTCATCAGAAAAGTCATGACATATTTTTCTATGTAAAAATGCATTATGATTTTTCTGATGACCAGATACTTAAATGTATATAATTTTTCATGAATGGGACACTCCTCGCCCTTTTATTTATTTCAGAAGACAGAACCGATCCTACAACACTGAGATTGTTAAGTCCTGTAAGATTGTCCTCCCTGTGTTTAGAGAAGGGACCATGCCCGAGGGCACATGTGATTCGGGGATAAATTGCATCACTATCGGTAAATCTGTTCTTTTCCCTCTTAGATGGTCAATTTGAAAGAGAAAATCAAAGAACTCCATCAGCAATACAAAGAAGCATCTGAAGTGAAGCCACCAAGAGATATTACTGCAGAGTTCTTGGTGAAAAGCAAACACAGGGACCTGACTGCCCTTTGCAAGGTGTGGTATACACATACATGCCTCACTGGCTTACTGGGGATCCTGAGAGTCAGTATGGAGGTGGGGCACTTGGGAAACGAGAGAACCTTTGTAGCCCACCACAGATGTCTGTAAGTGAAGAAGAGGGTTTGGTTCATGAGAGCCATGGGGACTTAGTGAGTTCGTTTGGTTTGAGATCGCCTTTTTCTATAAAATTCTTACCCTGTCCTGGGACCAGCAGTTGGCGTAATGGCTATGTCACTGGACTCCCCTGTAGTCAGTCATGGTTCAAGTTCCGGACCCGGTGGCTTAAACTCACGCTGGGCGCATGTGCATGCGTGCCCAATCCCGAGAGAATGGAGAAGGGATTGCTGTGTGACCATCCCCCTGGGGGGTGATTTCTCGCTTTCTATCTCTCTCTAGCAAGTGCACATGCCCTATAGCAAAAATCTTCTCTAAAAAAAAGAAGAATTCTTACCCTGTCCTAACAATCTCATCATTTTAGCATGCATAAATCTCAGTCTAGCCCTCTGCTAATTTATCTCTAATCTCTTAATGGTTTACAATAATAATTGCATATGGGCCTCTGAGAATCATTTGCAGTCAAACTGGTTTAAGTCCCTGATGTTGTATCTCCTAACCATGTGACCTTGGACTCCTTAAGGAGCTCATCTGTAACATGGTTTTAATAATACTTAACTTGTAGGGTAGTTGTGAAGCTTATATCTTAAGTGGTTATCTCAGGCCCAGTTGCAGTGGTACGCACTGCTAAGACATTGAGCTCTATAGTCTGGGACCTCCTGGGCCTGGGTTTGATGCCCAGTGTAACCTAAAGGTTGGGTATGGTGGCATGCACCTGTAATCCCAGTGACTTGAGGAAGCTGAGGCAGGAGGGTGGCAAGATGGGGTGTGACCCTCTCTTATAAATAAATAAATAAATAAAGCACTAAGCCCAGGTCTAGCGGCATGGTGAATGCCCAGGAAATGGTACTTGCTATTATTTCTCATCCTTACCTTGTAGCCGCTTAGTATGTTTCTTCTTTTGTCTTCTTGTGCATGCTCTCTCTACCACTCATCCCCCCTCCCCAAGACTTATTCCAGGCTCACATTTGTAACTTGTCTTCAAGAACCAAACACCTGGGGCCTGACCACAGGCTTGAATTCCACCATACGTCCCGTATATGAACAGGATGGGAGTTATGATCCAGGCTTTACGTTTTGGTATAAACTAGGGTGATCTCTGACTCTTCAAGGTAAATCAGATCTGCTTAATTTTATCAGGAATATGATGAATTAGCTGAAACACAAGGAAAGCTAGAAGAGAAACTTCAAGAGTTGGAAGCCAATCCGCCAAGGTAAGAAAACAAACACAGACATTCAGAGGGATGTCTTTTACTATTTCCTTCCCTTCCCTTCCCTTCCCTTCCCTTCCCTTCCCTTCCCTTCCCTTCCCTTCCCGTTCCATTCTTTTTTTTTTAACAAATTTTTGCTATAGGGCAAGTGCACTTGCCAGGGAGACCGAAAGCTAGAAATAACCCCCCATGGGGGATGACTACTCCACAATCCCTTTCCCTCCATTCTTCTCTCAGGATCTTGCGTATACATGCATCCGGCATGAGTTTTAAGCCGCCAGGTCCAGGACTTGAACTTCTCTAAAAAAAAGAAGAATTCTTACCCTGTCCTAACAATCTCATCATTTTAGCATGCATAAATCTCAGTCTAGCCCTCTGCTAATTTATCTCTAATCTCTTAATGGTTTACAATAATAATTGCATATGGGCCTCTGAGAATCATTTGCAGTCAAACTGATTTAAGTCCCTGATGTTGTATCTCCTAACCATGTGACCTTGGACTCCTTAAGGAGCTCATCTGTAACATGGTTTTAATAATACTTAACTTGTAGGGTAGTTGTGAAGCTTATATCTTAAGTGGTTATCTCAGGCCCAGTTGCAGTGGTACGCACTGCTAAGACATTGAGCTCTATAGTCTGGGACCTCCTGGGCCTGGGTTTGATGCCCAGTGTAACCTAAAGGTTGGGTATGGTGGCATGCACCTGTAATCCCAGTGACTTGAGGAAGCTGAGGCAGGAGGGTGGCAAGATGGGGTGTGACCCTCTCTTATAAATAAATAAATAAATAAAGCACTAAGCCCAGGTCTAGCGGCATGGTGAATGCCCAGGAAATGGTACTTGCTATTATTTCTCATCCTTACCTTGTAGCCGCTTAGTATGTTTCTTCTTTTGTCTTCTTGTGCATGCTCTCTCTACCACTCATCCCCCCTCCCCAAGACTTATTCCAGGCTCACATTTGTAACTTGTCTTCAAGAACCAAACACCTGGGGCCTGACCACAGGCTTGAATTCCACCATACGTCCCGTATATGAACAGGATGGGAGTTATGATCCAGGCTTTACGTTTTGGTATAAACTAGGGTGATCTCTGACTCTTCAAGGTAAATCAGATCTGCTTAATTTTATCAGGAATATGATGAATTAGCTGAAACACAAGGAAAGCTAGAAGAGAAACTTCAAGAGTTGGAAGCCAATCCGCCAAGGTAAGAAAACAAACACAGACATTCAGAGGGATGTCTTTTACTATTTCCTTCCCTTCCCTTCCCTTCCCTTCCCTTCCCGTTCCATTCTTTTTTTTTTTTTTTTTTTTAACAAATTTTTGCTATAGGGCAAGTGCACTTGCCAGGGAGACCGAAAGCTAGAAATAACCCCCCATGGGGGATGACTACTCCACAATCCCTTTCCCTCCATTCTTCTCTCAGGATCTTGCGTATACATGCATCCGGCATGAGTTTTAAGCCGCCAGGTCCAGGACTTGAACTGTGGTTGACTGCATGGGAGTCCGGCGACAAAACCTTATGCCATCTGCTGGCCCCTTTTTTACTATTTTCTGTATTAGATTTAGAAGAAAAATGATAAAGCACAGTGAGCTTTCATTTATATTCTGTGAATAGATTTTAAATTGGTCAGTGAATGGAAAATATCTGAACATGTGACTGCTTGTTAGGTTTCTGAGTTCCCTAACTCATGTTTTAATGTGTGAAAGTACCCTAGATAAAAACAAGTTGTTCTTTTGAAAAGATAGCTTTTCCTCGTTGGTTCAGCATGGCCATAAGATCCGATCCTCGGATAAAGATATAGTAGATGGAACGACCCCCTTTACATGTCCATAGTTCTGGGGCTGGGAAGGCGCTGTTCTTTCTAGTTCACTTGTGACAGTGAGCACTTGCATGCTGATTAAATGCTCTGTGCATCCAGTCTCCACGTATAAGGGTACTTCGAAAGGTTGTTAGGAAAAAAATGGAGTTAAAGTGTGAGATTATTTAGGTGCAGAAACTTTTTTGGGGGGGAGAGGTTTTCGCTATAGGACTCGTGCGCTCGCCAGACAGACAGACAGAGACATAGAGACAGAAAGCGAGAAATCACCCCCCAGGGGGGATGGTCACGCCGCAGTCCCTTCTCCTCCATTCTCCTCTTGGGATCTTGGGCACGCACGCACACGCACCTGGCGTGAGTTTTAAGCTACTGGGTCCGGGACACGAACCGCGGTCGACTACGTGGGAGTCCAGCGACATAGCCATTACGCTAACTGCTGGTTCCCATGGGTGCAGAAATATTTTGAAATACAAGCATAGTGTTTTCATAATACGCACTTTTCATGAACTTTTTGAAGACTCATAGATCTATTTCATTCTGCAGTCAGGGCTGCTGCCCCTCTTCTGTAAAGCTTATGCTTTAGGACAAGCAGGTGGCATGGTGGTTAAGGTGCTGGACTCCCATATGGCTGGTTGTGGTTCGAGTCTAGACTTGGTGGCTTACTTTCTCACTTTCTCTCTCTCTCTCTCTGTTGAGCACATGTGCCCTATAGAAAATCAAAAATAATACATAAAGTTTTAAAGATTATTCTTTAAAAAAATAGCTTATGCTTTATTCAAAATATAAAGATACTGTTTGCCTTTTTTTTTTTTTTTAAAGTCTTTGCCATAGAGTGTGTGTGCTCACCAGAGAGCCGGGGGGTAGCCACACCACACAGTTCCTTCTGTATTCTCCTGGGATTTTGGACGTGCATGCATATGTACCTGGCATGATTCCCAAGCTAGGTCCGGGAATCAAACTGTAGTTGGCCATGTGAGAGTCCAGCACTTTAACCACTATGCCAAATGCTGGCCCTGAAAAAAAAATCTTTACAGTGAATAAGCTTTTATAATGCAACGTGACTGAGTGTGAAGAAATCTTCCTTTCAGACAAACGAGGCTAGTGCAGTTCGCTTTATATTGTGAATACGGCACTGTTGTAAGCACCAGAGATAAAGAGACTTATAATAAAAGGGATAAGATCCTATATTCTGACTTTCACTTCTTTGTGTAAGGTACCATTCCTGACTTAGGTTCCCGTACAGTTGTCGAGACATGTCCATCAGCTCATCAAGAATAGTAGTAATGTCAGGGCCAGCAGGTGGCATGGTGGTTAGAGATGCTGGACTCCCACCGGATGGACTGCGGTTTGAGTCCCGGGCCTGGCAGCTTCCTTTCTCACTTTCCCTTTCTCTCTGTCTCTCTCTGCTCAAGTTAAAAATAATAATAAAACTAAATAAATGAATACTTCTTACAAAAAAGAGAATAGTGGTAATGTCTCTGAATAATACCCTGTATTCCCATGTTCTTGTTTTGTAGTGATGTATATCTTTCTTCAAGAGACAGACAAATACTTGATTGGCATTTTGCAAATCTTGAATTTGCTAATGCTACACCTCTTTCTACCCTCTCCCTTAAACATTGGGATCAGGTAAGATTTGTTTATTTTGTCGCTTGTGTCTTTCAGAGAACCCTTAAGAAAAACTGTTTGTGTGTGTGTGTGTGTGTGTTTTCAAGAATTATTTGTTTAATTTTATTATTATTTTTGTTTCTTCTTCTTTTTTTTTTTTTTTGGAGAGGTTTTTGCTATAGGGCGGGT